CTTATGAATGCAGTGAATGTGGGAAAGCCTTCATTGACAAATCTGCCCTCATTGTACATCAGAGAATTCATGGAGGGGAGAAATCCTATGAGTGTAAAGAATGTGGGAAGACCTTCTTACGGAAATCAGCCCTGGCTGAGCACTTCAGGTCACACACAGGGGAGAAACCTTACAAATGCAAGGAATGTGGGAATGCCTTTGGCAAGAAATCTTACCTCATTGTACATCAAAGAACTCATAGGGGAGAGAAGCCAAATGAGTGTAAGGAATGTGGAAAAACCTTCTTCTGTCTGTCAGCCCTGACTGCACATCAGAGAATTCACACGGGTGAAAAACCCTATGAATGCAGTAAATGTGAGAAAACCTTCTTTTGTCAGTCAGCCCTCAATGTGCATCTGAGAAGTCATACAGGAGAGAAACCCTATGAATGCCGTCAGTGTGGAAAGTTTCTGTGTACTAAATCTGCCCTCAGTGCACATCAGGTAATCCATAGAGGAAAAAAGTCTTTTGGATGTAATGAATGTGGGAAGTTTTTCTACCTTAAGTCAACACTCACTATACATCAGAGAACTCACACAGGAGAGAAGCATGGTGTGCTTAGTAAGTGGGGTAAAACATCCACTGTGAAGTCAGACTGCAGTGAAAATAAGGGAATGGATACAAAGGAGAATCTTTTTGAGTGTCACGAACACAGGCATACAGTCTACAAAAGTTCACGTGTATTCGTACACCAGAGAACTATATGGGAGAGACCTTATGAATGTGATGAATGTGGGAGAACCTACTGCCGGAAGTCAGCTCTCAGGGACCACCAGAAGACACACACTGGAGAGAGGCCCTATGAATGTAACCATTGTGGGAAAACCTTCGGTCAGAAGGTTTCCTTTACTGAGCATCAGCGAACTCACACTGGAGAAAAACCACATGTATGTAAAGAATGTGGGAAATCTTTCCGCCATAAGTCAGCCTTCATAGTCCATAAGCGAATTCACACAGGAGAAAAACCTTATGAGTGTAATGAATGTGGGAAAACCTACCGTCGGCTCTGGACTCTCACTGAACATCAGAAGATACACACAGGGGAGAAACCCTATGAATGTAATGTGTGTAAGAAGACATTTCGCTACAAATCAAACTTCCTTTTCCATCAGAAAACCACAAGGAATAAGATCCAACAAGGCGACAAATAGTTTACAGTATGCTAAAATCCTGAATATGTGTAAAGGAGTGAAATCTTAGCATCATAAGCACTGTGGGAAATTTTTCCACCATAATTCAGCCCTAACATAACACCAGAGAGCTCACACAGGTGAGGGACACAGTTTGAAAAATGTGGCCGAAGATTCTTTGTGAACTATAAAAATGTCCAACAGCATTTCAGACATGCCAAGTGTGCCTCCCTTTTAAATCATGAAACAAGATATTTAAAATCTAACTCTTACTTGATTACTTTCCAGTATTACTTGAATAGTGTATGTTACCAGATAGGAGGCCCAGTCTTCATTCCAAATCATTACCAGTTGTTCCTATAATAATTGAGTGATTTATAATTTTTGAGTTCATGATGTTTTAAAATCTCAGATTATACAACTGGTCTTTTAACTTGACAGTGTTACCTAGCAATAGACCCTAATCCCTTTATCTGTAAAGATGACAAAGAGAACTAACCATGGTACCCCCAACCCATAACAACAACCATACACGAACATTTGCTAAAGCTGAGTCATTGAAAGCCCTAAATAAGATGTTTCTAGTAGGAAGCACGGGATCACTCCTAAGTGGTCCCCAAGGCTTCAAACTAAGCCAAGAAAATAGCAGCTATAGTTAACAACAAAATAGCAAAAATGCAATAAGCAGACTTGAATAGCAAGGAGAATCTGGGTAGTGTTTGAATCAAAACCATGTCTCTCTGAGTTTAGGTTTTTTAACTAGCCACTCTGGAGAACAATAGAACATAGAAATTAGTGGTTACATCAATATATTTTCAAAAATCTCGATTTTCTAATAAGCATGTCCATAGAGGTGATACATAGAATTTACTTGTCAGCTTCTGAGTAAAGAAGTCTCTATTATGCCAAATAGAATCATCGTGTGGATGTATGCCTCTAGTCTAAACGCCATTTGTATGGAGTTAACGTCAAGTCCTGTTAGCCACAAGTTAGATTTCCATACACCCAGTCTTGCTCTCTGATGTGCTGCGCATTCTATACCAGGGAGGATGAAGTGAGTTCATCTCATTGGCAAAACAAGAGTCACTGGGCCTCTTGTCATAGGCATTGCCTATGACCAAGCAGGTAACTTGGCCTGTGCAATGGCCGCACTAAGTTGCATCCTCTGGTCTTGATAATGAGAGTTGTGACGTTTACTTCTTAAGGTAGAAAAGGGTGCCCTTTGTTTGAGTCACCAATTGAGACACCAATATGAACGTTTTACATCATCCAGTAAGGTTAACATACATTTGTGGACATATACATGTATTAAGTATATATTAATATGTACTTGAATATATGTATACCAATAACTTAGTTACTTTAAAGATTTAGCTGCTGCTGCAAGTGGAATTTTATTATCTTTTTTTTTTTTTTTTAATGACTGGTGAGATGGCTCAGCAGATCAAGGCATCTAAAGACCTAAGCTTAATCTTTGGGGCCCACATGATAGAAGGAGAGAACTGATTTTCCTGCAAGTTGTCCACTGACTTCCATGTGTGTGCTGTGGCATGCACAGGCACATACACAGTTTCTAAAAATAAGTAAAAATTTAAAATTAAAAAACAATTTTAATGTGTGATGACAACTTGTTTCCCCCATCAGATTGACCATGTTGATCTCAGGAAAAAAAAAATTTTTTTTTTTTGCTTGATCTTGTAAATTGTGAATTTTAGTTTATTATAAATGAAGTTGATGGATCATCTTGTAGTGTAGGTATTTTTGCTTGTTGAAGGTCTTTGCTTACCTGCTATCTAGTCCCTAGTGCTTGCAGTTGAGTTATTCAAAGAGTCACAATTCCACCCATTTTTTCCTTATTGGTTTGATTTGATGTTACATAGATGGAAATGTGTATGCTGAGGAAAAAAATTTCTTTTCAAATCTGATGAAAAATAGTCCACAAATGAAGTTCAGTGAACCTCAAAAAATAACTCACAAGACACATAAAACTTTAAGGGCCACTGAGATGGCTCAGCTGGGCAAGGCACTTGCTGTTGAAGTCTGGCAACCTGAGTTCAATCCCCAGAAGGCATATGAGATGGAAGGAGAGAACTGACTCCACAAAGTTTTTCTTTGTTTGTGCTCTGAGGCGTGCCCATGCACACACTAATAACAGTACATTTTAAATTGTTTAAAACTTTCAAGACATCAAAATTGATTAAATGGCAAAAATCTTTAAAAGTAGTTGAAGAAAGCAGGACATGACATGCAGGGTCTGCCAGCTTCCTACGCTGCTGTGACTCCCACACTGACCCGGAACAGCTGAAATCTGGGTCTCACAGACCCCAAGGCTGCCAAGTTTGAGGCCAAGTGCTGGAAGGACTGCTGTCTCGTGAAGGTGCTGGAGAGAGTTCCCTCTGGGCCTCCCACCTTCTGGTCCTTCTGCAGCTTGTGGCAACATGACTTTTACCTTTGTATTGCCTTCCCGTTGTGAATACCTGTCTGCATTTACCTTTCATCAGGACATGTTGGACCAGGGCTCCACGTTACTCTAGCATGAACTCCTCTTATAACAGCCTTATTATAAGTAAGGTCACATTCTGAGGTAGCAGTGGTACTGAGAACTTCAACATAAACTTTGGAGAGACAATCCTTATAACACAGGAAAATGTGTACAGTCTCTTCCTGTCCTAAAAATTACCCCCAACCTCACCAGCTTAAAACAATAGATGTTTGTCGTGTGAGAGACTTTTCCTGGGGAGTCAACACATCTACCCCAGAAAGAACCTATGACAGACCAAAGTACTGACTACACCGAAGTGTAATTTGGTGAACCAATGAGTTTATTAGAGTTAATAGGAATACAGATGAGGGTTATAGGAGCAGACGCAAATGCAACTGCATCACTGAACAGCCCACCCCAACATGGGTTATGATGCACATCTGCAAACCTGGAGCAGTTTGCAGGGAGCTCAACAGTCTGGGAATCTCTTCTACAACTTGGCTGGTCAGAGTCTTCTCCCTAGCAGTTATTTACTACTACTATAAAGCTGGGAAGGGCCTTCTAGAATCTTCACAAATTTTCAGATGTGATGTTGGTGTATGTATCTCTTGGGTCTCACGAACCTTTCCCTCTCTCCTGGAGGAAATGTTACAGTTCCAAGGAAACTGCTATACAGCAGGTCAGCAAGATGGCTCAGAGGGTAAAGGCGCTTGCCGTCACTCTTGACCTGAGGAGAGAACTGACTCCCATAAGTTGTCTTCTCATCTCCACATGCCATGTATGTATGTAGACACAGCCACCTCGTACACAAATAAATGTAATTTTAAAGCATTAAAAAATAAAATACTTCTTTTAGAGATGGGGATAATTACATGTTTCCAGTATGCATACTGGAAATTCTAGGAAGATGAAATGATGAGGTTATGTTCTGAGTAGTGAGGGAGGGTGGAGTCAACAAATAGAACCCAAATTCCCATGCTGGGTCATTGTGAGAAACGCTTCATGAGAGCATGTGAGTTGGTGGATTGGGTGGGAAGCCTGTGAATTTCCTTTATAATTGGTCACATAAAATCATTATGTGAGAGAACAGAAAAAAGATTTTTATAAATTGCCTGTTATTGATCAGACGGACATTGTTTTTCAGTTCTGCCTGACTGCTCTGCATTTATAAATACCTGACTCACTGCGTAGCACTGGAGGATCTTGGGAAGCTTAGGAAAGTCTGTGTTTCTCAGCTAAGGTCTTTAGGCCTTAGCCCTGTCACGTGCAGGGAGTGACAGGAGGACACTACTACCTTTGTGCTGCTGATGGTGAAATTGCTTGGTAAATTATCTCCTCTTCACTCCTGGTCCACCTGGAACCAGGTATTAGTTTAATGAGACAGCCACTTCTCTGGTGTAAGGTGGACATAGCATCCCCTAAATGGCTGTTTGTTCACATATTTGAACAAGGGCCAGACATGGTGGTGCATGCCTTTAATCCTAGCACTTGGGAGGCAGAAGCAAGCAGACCTCTGTGAGGCCAGCCTTTTCTCTATGAAGGCAGCCTGTTGTATATAGTGAATTCCAGGATAGCTGGGGCTATGTAGTGAGACTCTGTCTCAAAAGAAAACAGAAAAGATGATGAAAAATATGGACTGTATGCAACAGTCAGTTGGACCAGTGTTTCCTGCATTGTGGGCCCACCATATTTAGTGTGGTGTGTTCAGAAGCTGCTGTCTCATGCTTTTGCTCCCCCAGGGCTGTGTTCCACCCCAGTCTACATATTTGGGAGCACACCAGGAACTCCATCAACATGGCTTTCTCTCTTCCCCTCTCCTCAGCAGTGGCTGAGGTTTATGCCTTGCCTGCCCTGTGGTTTTTCTCTCAAGCTAATAGAATGATCAAGCTTTAAAAAAAGAAAAAGATTTCTCACAGAGATCTGACCTTAGGTGACTAGCGAAGTTGTGACATGATTGAGCTCATGTCTAATGCTGGGACTTAAAGTCCACAGGCTAAGCAGCGAGGGAAACAAGATGAGCATCAAGCGCAAAGACAAGCTGGCCCGACAAAAGCAGGTGGATGTGTGCCAGCATTCACTGTCCAAGCCACAGGGTGTAAGTGTTCTGTAGAAGTGATGCCATCCAGTGTGCTCCTAAATCATACTTAGCCCGGGTGCCAGAAGGATAGGAAGATCTCTATGAAGGGAGAGCAGCTGCAGACCTTTTCCCTGGCCCACAGCGGGGAGTCCATAGGCAAGAAGCACCATGGTTTGGTACGCCTTCTGTGCATGCAAACAATGCTTCTTCACTCCACCCTCCGGATGTCACACAGGTATGTCCCTTGTGCCCCACCCTCACTTTGAAACACAGGGAAGTGAACCAGGGGATGCAGACTCGGCCAAAGTAAGGTGAGACACTACAGTTGCCACTGTATTCTTTCCCTGCGGCACCTGGGATGGCAGTTCCCTTAGTCTCTCTCTGCCTGTGGTTTTTAGTCTCTGTTCAGTTCTCTTGCTCCTTTCTTAGATGTATTGTTTTGGGGGCCTGGGAAATGGAAATCAGAGGCTCCGAAGCAAGTAGTGGGGCCAGGTGTCAGCCCTGAGCTTTGAAGACACAGTGGTCATATTATGCCTCAGGATAGAGTCATCTTTAAGATAGCCAGTTAATCCTGAAGACCCTAGAATGTAGTTAAACAGCCAACTCTCTGAGGCATAGCTTTCATGTAAGTGAAAGGTTTCTGGGTCTCCGGGACAGAACTGTGGCTGGAGGCATTATCATAAGAATAACCTTTAGTTGGTTCCCAGATATAAGCCAGTTCCTTGGCCCAAAGTGGCTTCAGAAAGAACCTCCAAAGAAGACCCTGAAGTGTAGTCACTGGCTGTTAGGGTTTAAAACAGCCAGTGGATTCCTGCATCTGAATACTTGGTCCCCAGCTGGTGGCACTGTTATTAGAGCTTGTGGGGTCTGTTTGGCAGAATTGGGTCACTGGGGGTCCTTTGGGGATTATAGCCTGGCCCGTTTAGTCCTATTCTCTCTTCCTGGTCCATAAAGATGTGAGGAGCCCCTGTCACAAGCTCCTACTGCCGCAGACTGAGCTGCCCCACCCCTTGCCTTCCACAGTCCACAGCTGTGCCTGCCCCACCCCCTCTGCAGCATCTTCCTTGCCATGATGAATCAAGAGCTTCTGAAACTGAGTCAGAATAAATTCGCCCTCCATGAAGTTGCTTCAGGTGTTTTTGGCCCAGTGGTGAGAAAAGTTACAGTGACCTAGTGTGACTCTTCCTCCAAGCTTCTTGGGGATCCCTGTGATCATTTGCCTGAAGGACTGCTCTAGAGGAAGGGAAATAACCAGACATCCATGGGAAATTCAGTATTGGCTCAGAGAAAATGCCCATTCTGACAGTTTTCCACTACCACCATGTTCCACAGAGTGAGGATCAGAAGGTCAGGATGAGTGAAAGGATAATCAAATAAACAAATTCATTCTGTTGATAAAACAGTAACACATTGATCATTAGTTCCTGTTAGTTTCTTTTCCTGTTACTGTGACATAATTCTCTGACAGAGGTGACTTAAGGGGGAGAGGGTTTATTTCTGCTCACAGTTCAAGGTATGGACCATCACCGTGGGTAATTCACAGCTGCAGGAGTTTGAGGCAGCTGGCCACATTGCATCTGCAGTGAAGGAGCCTTGAGCAAGGCATAGGCATGCATGCTCGCTGCTCTGCTCCCTCTCCTTTTCATTCATTCCAGGGCCCAGCCCATGACATGTTTCTACCACACTCATGGTGGGGCTTCCTACCTCAATTACCCAATTAGAAAATCCCTCACAGGTATGCCCAGAGGCCCATCTCCCAGGTGATTCTAGGCTTTGTGAAGTTGACAGTTAACACCATCAAAGTCCCTTGCAGTCACCCTATCAGTCATCTGTGAAGACACGAGGCCTGTCCTCAGGCCAGCACACATCTTCCTTCAGGTCCATGTGCTTGTATCCACACACTGAAAAGGGACTACAGAAAATACCTGCGGTGGTGCCACTTGGACAACAGGAATTGAGTATACAAACTGGAAATGAGATCAGAAGACGATAATGTCTCAAATTAGGTACAAATTCCAATACAGTACAGGTCTTCCCAAGTCTAGGAAGTTGTGAAGAACCATAATTTAAAAGCAAAGATACAGCCGGGCGTGGTGGCCCACGCCTTTAATCCCAGCACTCAAGGAGGCAGAGGCAGGCAGATCTCTGTGAGTTCAAGGCCATCCTGGTCTACATAGTGAGTTCGAGGACAGCTGGGGCTACAGGGAGACGCTGCCTCAAAAAATTTTTTAAAAAAGTAGCAAAGATGCTGAGTTTTGTGTTACGACGTATATACCAAAATGTATCCACTTAATAGCTAAACCCATGAATGTTACTGTCCTGCCAACAAATCCATTATTACTAATGTTTTAGAATATTTTGAGTTATTTAGTAAGTTGGTTAATCACTTTAACATTGGTTTTTACTAAAATTTTTAATCACTTAATTACTACACTAGTCTCATCCAAAGTCATTAAGTGATAGTGCTTTTAAGAGACTTAAAAAAGACTCATAAAAACCAATTATTTTAAAGTGGAAATTAGATGCTGTGCAACAAAGACACTTAAACAAGTATAATGCACTGTGTAGTTAATTGAGGGAGAACACTTAAACACATCAGAGTGAAAGCCAAGAGAATTTAAAAGGAAGCATTAGAGCCCTGCCTTCCATAGAAAAGCAGATCCTTGAGAGAGCAGCCTTTCAGGGCCTATCTGCTCCACCAGGGGGCTCAGTGTTGAGCTGTGCAGATCATGGGTTTTCGCAGACTTTCATAAGCAAAATCCTTTCAGAGACTGCTCTATTGTTATGGGTGAGATTTGCAACATTTTTGGTTCAATTTTGTTCCTTGTATCCACACACCGAAAAGGGACTGCAGAAAATACCTGCGGTGGTGCCACTTGGACGACAGGAATTGAGTTTATACAAACTGTATTTGGTATTTACATGTGCTTTGAAACCCTTAGGAGGGGTGAATGATTTTTTACTACAAAAAAAGCTATGGCTTTATATTCTTATATAAAGTATATTTTATCAGGGGCTGGAAAGATGGTTCAATGGATAAAGTGCTTGCTGAGTTCAGAGCCCCAAAACCCAGGTACCACCACATGTACACCACACACACACCACATCACACCACACACATACCACACACACACACACATACATCACACACTACACACACACCACATAAACCACACACACCACACTACACACACACTAACACACACACATAAAAATTTAAAAATAAAGTATATTTAAAAATACTTTGTACCAGGTGTGTAGCACAAGACTTTAATCCCAGCACTCAGGAGGCAGAAGCAGGCAGACCTCTGTGAGATCGAGACCAGCCTGGGAAGTTCCAATCCAGCTGGGATTACAGCTGGGGTTGTCTCAAAAAGGCCAAAAAAAAAAGTAAAATAAATATTAAAATGTATATTGCAAGTTCTACCTACTTCAATGTATTATTTTGATATTTTACAATTTACATTATTTTTTAATATTTGCCTAATATCTCACCTTGTGGATTCCCATGTTTTTATTTTATTTTATTTTATTTTTATTTTTTATTTTTAAGTGTATGCATGCATTGCCTGTGTGTAGGTAAGTGCACCGGTGCCATGCAGTGCCCGTGGAGGACAGAAGAGGCTGTCGGATCCCCTGGAACTGGAGTTACGGACAATTGTTAGCTTCCGTGTGAGTGCTGGGATTCCAACCCGAGTCTTCTGCAAGAATAGCCAGTGTTCTTAACCACTGAGCCATCTCTCCAGCCCCTTATTTATTATTTTTATTTTATATGATGAGTGTTTTGCCAGCATGTATGTAAGTGCACCATGTACAGGCAATGCCTGTGGAGGCCAGAAGAGGGCATCAGATGTTAGCTGCCACGTGCACTGGTAACTGAACCTGGGTCCTCTGGAAGAACAAGTACTCTTAACTACTGAGCTGTCTCTCTAGCCCCTACCATAAGTTAATTTTTATGCTTAATTTTTTCCCAGTGTATTACTGTTAACATAAACCCCAGGGACCTAATGGACATGTGTCTTTGGGCAGTGATTTCCTTAGGTCTTATCCTGAGAGACAGATGGCCACATTAACTACATAGCATGCTGCTTTGAAATCTAGGATGGAGTGGCCTCTAAATTACTCTACAAATTATATTCCAAAAAGAAATTTATGAGAGGGAGCATTTCCGCAAACTTCTGCTCACAGTGGATGTCATATTTCTTTGTAATCTTTGCCTACTGTGAAGGGAAAAGTGTATTTAAACACTCGCATTTTTTATTTGTAGTTTATGGACTGCTGTCACATATTTATCCCTCATTTGCATCTCCCTTTTATTACCCATCCTTTACATCCATAGATCATGTTTATGGACCGTGATCTTCTTACAAACGTGTAAGAGATAGGTAAATGAAGCCAGCAAACCATTCCTTTCATATACTTAAGAAATATATTTTCCAATCTTACTTGATTTTTTTTTTTTCCTGAAAATAAGGTTTGGCATTTTTCTAGAGTTAAACCTGCCAGTCTTGTCTTTGGTGGCTGCCTCTCCTGATCCTTGCCCACAGATTAAATGAGAAGATTCTTTCCAATTTCCTCTAAGTAATTGGTGATTCATTGTCAGTGTGAAATCCCATCTATGTGAGATATATGCCACAGCATGTGGGTGCATGCTTGCTCCCCCGCCCCGTCCCTTGTTTCTAATTTTTTTTTAATTATAACTACTTTGTTTCTCTCCTCCCCCATCCAGCCCCCCACTTGGAAATGTCTCCTTTATCATAGTATTTTAAATTATTATGAACTCTTGGGTTTATACCTAGTCTTTAAGGGAGCGGTGGCAATTTTCATGCCTAAGTGGAACCACTCTGAATTATCAATTAAAAATTACTGGCTGCTATCTACGGACTTTTGTTCTTCAGATGAAATTTAGATTTATTAAGTAAAACAATAAACACAAAAGGAAAAACAAATTGACATCACATACTGAGATTTTGTTAAGGGCTATTGTATTGGACATTGGAGAAACAGCTCAGCATTGAGAGCACTGGCTGCTCTTGCAGAGGACCGGGGTTCAGTTCCCAGCACCCACATGGCCGCTAACAACCATCCATAACTCCAGTTCCAGGGATCCAATGCCCTCTTCCAATCTCTACAGGCATTGCACACACATGGCGCACTTATATACAGGCAGGCAATCAAATATATACATAAAATAAAAATAAAATATTTAGAGACTATTGTCTCTTCCCATGTAGGACAGCAGCCCCCATCTCTGGCCATGGCTTTAATGGCCCCCAGCTGAGTGCAATGCTTTCAGGAGAGCTTTG